GAGACGGAAGCACCTGAGGAGACTGAAGCACCCGAGGAAACGGAAGCACCTGAGGAGACGGAAGAACCGGAAGATACTAAAGCAGCTGAGGAGGCTGAAGAACAAGAAGAAGAGGAGGAAGACGAAGAAGAGGAGGAAGAGGAGGAAGATGATTAAATAATATTCTATTTTAAATGTGTGTGCGTTGGTTATACGTATACGATCAACTAGACATCGTTCGTGGGCTACTTCTTTATTGGAAAACTCGACGTTTAAGAAGGTTCCTTTGTCTTTAAACTCGAAAAATTCCATAAATATCTAAAAAAAATATACATGTACGATACTGATTATTGATTATAAATGGTATTCAATCTGTTGCAGAAAAATGTTAAAAATAGTACAGGGTTTAGACTTTCAACTGCTGAAGTTATTTGGTAAGCGTTTTTTTTATCCCAAGAAAAAGGGGCCATTAGGTTCAAAACCCGCTGTAAGTGTGTCTATAAAAGTGATACCGGTAAAAGTAAATTATAATTATCTTACACTATATAAACTTCGAGTTTAAACCTTAAAATAATATGATCACAATGGGTTTATTTTAGCTTTTTTGTCTTTCTTCAGTGCGGCACATTTATACGACGAAGCCACGGCCCGAGATTGTCCGCTGTTGTGAGAAGTGATTCTATTTGCTTTTATTGAAATGGATGGATGAAAATTGATCGCTCTTTTTGATATATAAATCATGTCCAGTGACATAGAAATCACGTCAAAGAGAAAGTAAAATCTACGATCACAGCTAATTCTTTAGCCGCGGCACGTGCCGACATGAAAATGGATTTACAACAAGATACGAATTGCTCTTACTGAAAAGAGAACAAAAACCTTATGACAGCCTGCAAACCACTAAGCTGAAATTATGTCATGTTAGGCTTCTTTCAAATGTGGGATTTCTTCCCCGGGGTGGGGAGTGGGTACTTAGGCTAATTTTTGCCGGGTATGTGCCGCTGACCTCTCAGAGCCCCTACCCCATTATGGGCCTACACTGAAACTTAAGGTGATTTAAGGTGACATATTAGGTAAATTACATGTTAGTGTATACAGAATTGAAATCTGCTGATAACACAACCTCTCTAGGGCCACAATGTCATAGCATAAGTTAATTCAGTCTTGAAGACATCTACATTAGTCTTCCAAAACACATAGAATACTAATGTTAGTAATATAGTAATGCTACCTAATATTTTGAACTTAAATATCAAGGTAGCTTGTGTTGCAGATGTATTCTAACCCCGGTTAGTAACATTTGCGAAGCATCACTAATATCTTTTTTCTGGGCCCCAACGTACTCAACGAATTTTCCAGCATTTTGAGTTTCCCTTCAACATGATTGGCAAATGGACTATGACATTTTTAACAGTCCAGTCCTGGCATGTACTCAAATCCTGATACACACGAGGGGCCCAGAACTAGGATTTTGCTCGCTGTTTTGCAGACGGACTTAACCCAGAGTTTAGTTCCTTCTGTGGCACAGGCTAATATCAAGGATGTTGGTTTGTATTACATTAGCAGAGAGAAAATCTGAGTTAGAAGCAGCCGAAATGGTAAATTTTCTCTTAGCCTTTAAATGCATTGTTTTACAAATAAAGGACCAAAAAAAAATCAATGGTTCCGGTATTTTTTTTTCCAAAAAATAAAACCCAAAAAGTACAGTATTTCAATACATCGCTTGTAAAAAACTATAAGCTGGTTTGTAGCAAAAACTTTATATTAAAGTGTCTTTTTTCTTTTTCATTATTTGACGACAAGCATTAAAGCAATTAATTTAAATCATTTAAAATCACAATCGACACCTCACATTATGGAAATGATTACCTTTATAAGTATGTCTTGGCTGTTGCTCTGCCGATGTTTGTCTTCACCATTTTGGCAAAGAGGGTATTTTTCCAATTGCCTTCAAAATACAATTAAAGTTCGTAGTTTACTCTCGCCTTATATGTTGCTCCTTTCCTGTCTCAGTCAAGCAATACACTCCAATACTTCCACATACTTGCTTCGCTAGTGAGCCGTAGTCTCTTCTCATTTTCTCTTTGGAAACTTTCCAGTCGGGTTGATTACATGAGTGCATTTAAACCAGCAGAAACTATACACGCTTTTAATAAGTCTGGGCGCCATCTTTTTTTTTTTTTGTATTTTATTTATTTATTTTCTTTTTACAGGTATAGTACAAACAACATACAGATCGAAACATACAAACATTACAAAATTTACAACAACTACCTTAATTACAAAAAAAAAATAGAAAATAGAATAAATAAATAAAAAGCTACACTGCACTACACTACAAGGCTTACATAACTTATTCGACTTGAACTTAAAATACAGAGTAATACAGGGAGTATTAGAAAAACGAAGTTTTGGGCGCCATCTTGAATTTGTAATTTATGACGTCATTCGCGGAAAGACTTCAGCCGCCATCTTTGAGTTTTGACCCGCGTGAGAGTACCATGTCAGGACGAGAGGCAAAGTCAGGCCATTATGAATCACTTTATTCCATTCTTTTCCTGTATAATCATTAACAAATACCAGCGAATCCTTTTCCAAGGCTAAAGTAATCGCAGTTGTGCGGTTCGTCTTTGCAAGTCATACGGGGATATATTCGATAACAAACGCAACACTAAGAAATGTGACATAAGATTCCATGCAAGAGATCAGCATGTATTAAAAGCTAGCACGGCTGCAGCGAATTAAAAGGGAGGAGTACTCGACCGTTAAGTTGTGTAACTAGGTCTTTTTGTGTGTGGGTTCTAATTCGTACCGCTATATTCATCTCTTGAATATTGCTTTTTTGCTAGGGGCGGAAACATACAATCGTCTGTTCTTTTCATTTTAGGGATGATGACTTCGGAAGTATCGTATTGTATTGTCTTTTAATAGTGGTCGGTAGCTTTTGAAAACGTGCAGCCTCCCCTCGATCGGTGTTTTAATACTCCGTACACAAGCCATACCTTATCCGTAAGATCCAAAATAAGACAAAGTTGAACAGTAATCTGATTCGAGGGAAACCAGATATGGTAAACACCACAGGAGTGAGGTGTGTGTTGAGCCAAATGATGCTGAGCGACACAGCTTACCCGAATCCGACGCTGAAATTTCTGAACTAGAATCTGAAATTTTAGGACTAAAGGTAGAAGGAAAAAAACTGCTAAATATTAAGTGAAATTTGACCAGCCTTTATTTAAAGAATATTGAAGACAGCACTACTTTAATCCTGCCCAACCCAAATGACCTCGGAAAAGGTGGACCCTTTTGAACTCAGGCTTATCATTAACTATGTGACAATAAAACCTTGGATAAGAAAATGCCTTCTCAGCTGTCAAGTTTCATAATGTAAAAGGGCATTTGATTTCTAATAAACCATACTCAATATTTATTATCTATCACCTTGCTGTTTGGTAAAGCAGTGAACCATGACATTGTGCTTGATATGACAACACCACACTCTAAGCCCTGAATATGAATGTATATGTAATATAAATATACATGCTAAATCAAAATTTTCATGTATTCAGCATATTTAGTCGCTGATAAGACCAATTTGCATTCAATATTATTAGAAACATTATTCTGTGACACGAGAGTATTTTGAACAAACCTTGTTTGCAGTGAGAGATGTTGAGTTTCCATTCGCAAACAAGTGCAAATTACAGCTAATTAACTTGAACCTTTTACTTGGAAACCACAACGTATTTTGGCTGTGACCTTTGATTCTCAATTAAAGAAGGATTAGGATTTTTTAAACAACTTATAATTTGGTCCTCTTGAAAAAAGGGACCTGTGCAATACCACTAGAACCGGTGTGTCAGTGTCAATTGGGAATTCAGGAAAGGAGCCATCAACAGCTCTAGGTCTTGGGCAAATTGGAATAGTGGTCATTACACTGAAGTTTGCCTCCATTACAGAGAGATGTTTAACTCAGTACCCGTGGAACCTTGTTGAAGTGTATTCGAATCTAGTAGTTCATGCAAAACGAACCTTTATTGCGAGCCTCTAAAACACCTGCTATTTCGCAAGCGGGACATCCGAAGAACGTTTACACAAAGTGTCTTCCTTAAACGTAACTTATGTAACAAAACAACTGTAAATTTATATAACAAACAAATCTACGTCATCCCCCTTGTTGATAAGAAGACAGAGTTCCTGTTAAGATGAAAAATATTAGTTCCCAATTACAGCAACGACGATACACTAAGATCCTAGCAAAAAGCAAATTTGCACGTGCAGCACGCATTTTTGTCTTTCCCTTGCCGTTGTTTTGCACGACTACAACACTGTTTTGTACGAGTAAAACGTCAAACTTCTTAGTTACACACTATTTTTATGGGGAAATTGTCGTATGTGCTTACCCAATATTGTGTTTCCAGTGTTCATGTTCGCTTTTATTTTTCACTGCCGCTCATTTTCACCTTGCTGGCCGCTAGCATTTCTCATTTTTTCACCGCCGCTTTGAATTTTCATGTTTTTCTTCCAACGAATTTTCAATAACTCGCTCTAGCTCTTTCTCTGTTATCCACATTAGTGTACACATAAAAAAAAAAACGCCGAAAAAGACACGACTTTTTTCTTACTAAAAGTCCGGGCGGTCATGTGATTTCCTTCCAAATAAAACCTTGAGTTGCATTTGGGTTCCCATACCTGTTGATTGAGTTATTTTACATTGGTATGCCTGTGGTGCGGACGGACGGTCGTACGGTCACGTGATTACCAAATTTTCTGGGATGGGTAGATTACCACATTTCCTTAGCTATGGGGCTCCGCCCATGCGCGCTTCGCTATAACGAAATAAAAAGTGCAATGGTTAAAACATTAATTGTCGATTACTAAGGATTGATATCAAGCACTGTTTTCAACTAGAAATGTTTTTATAAAAAACTCCGATTCTCATTTTTGCACTGGTCATCGTCACATCCTTTATAAGTCACTTCTGGTTAAAAAGTCACTTTGGAGGTTTTATTCATATCCGTATTTCACTGGTGCTTTAATGATACGCCTTGATCGGGATGTTCTGACGCTGTCTGGTGGATTGTCACCTGCTTTATTGGCGTCTCTGGCTTCGGCTTTGGTGGGCTAGCCGTAACCTTAGTGTCTGGCATTTCCACTGACACTGATGCACCTTCTTCCCTTCTTTCGGAAGAACCTTTTGCAGTAGGTGGAGTGGGAGCATATCCAGGGATTGGCTTGATATGGACGCGGTCTCTGGAATATTGTGTTCCAGTTGCGTCGTGTTCCCGACGATACACTAAGATCCTATTTTGTAATATATAGATTTAGCCAGGGCTAAAAGCGAAGCTCTCGTTAATAATACGTGTAAACAAAAAAAATTAAATCGTGTAACGCTAAACGGGGGACGACAATGAAAATGGCTTCAAGAGTAATAGATCTAATTAGCAAAAAAACAAATTGCACGTGCAGCACACTTTTTCTTCTAATTAGCAAAAAGCAAATTTGCACGTGCAGCACACTTTTTTGTCATTCCCTTGCCGTTTTTTGCACTACTACAACACTGTTTTGGACGAGTAAAACGCCAAACTTCCTAGTTACACACTATTTTTATAGAGAAATTGTCGTATGTGCTTACCCAATATAGTGTTTCCAGTGTTCATGTTCGCTTTTATTTTTCACTGCCGCTCATTTTCACCTTGTTGGCCGCTAGCATTTCTCATTTTCTCACCACCGTTTTGAATTTTCATGTTTTTCTTCCAACGAATTTTCAATAACTCGCTCTAGCTCTTTCTCTGTTATCCACATTAGTGTACACATAAAAAAAAAACGCCGAAAAAGACACGACTTTTTTCTTACTAAAAGTCCGGGCGGTCATGTGATTTCCTTCCAAATAAAACCTTGAGTTGCATTTGGGTTCCCATACCTGTTGATTGAGTTATTTTACATTGGTATGCCTGTGGTGCGGACGGACGGTCGTACGGTCACGTGATTACCAAATTTTCTGGGATGGGTAGATTACCACATTTCCTTAGCTATGGGGCTCCGCCCACGCGCGCGCTTCGCGCGCGGGTAGAGCTCCGCTATAACGAAATGAAAACTGCAATGGTTAAAACATTAATTGGCGATTACTAAGGATTGATATCAAGCACTGTTTTCAACTAGAAATGTTTTTATAAAAATCTCAGATTCTGATTTTTGCACTGGTCATCGTCACATCCTTTATAAGTCACTTCTGGTTAAAAAGTCACTTTCGGGGTTTTATTCATATCCGTATTTCACTGGTGCTTTAATGATACGCCTTGGTCGGGATGTTCTGACGCTGTCTGGTGGATTGTCAGCTGCTTTATGGGCGTCTCTGGCTTCGGCTTTGGTGGGTAGCCGTAACCTTAGTGTCTGGCATTTCCACTGGCACTGATGCACCTTCTTCCCTTCTTTCGGAAGAACCTTTTGCAGTAGGTGGAGTGGGAGCATATCCAGGGATTGGCTTGATATGGACGCGGTCTCTGGAATATTGTGTTCCAGTTGCGTCGTCTTCCACGGTGTATGATCGTTGTCCGTCCACTGAAACGACCGTTCCACTTGACCATCGGGCCTTCTCTTCCTGAGGTTTCTTCATAAACATGACTGTTTGATGTTGCTCCAGCTTTGGTCAGGCGGTGTTGGACACGGTCCGAAGGGCATCATGGGGAAAAAATCAAAAACGGCTCATTTGCATCTGACCTTCGCTTTGTTCACATCTCTCGTTACGCCATTAAAATACCGGGAGAATAGTGTGATATGAGCATTACAGGTCTTCTTCCGCTTTTAAAGGACATAACATGCGATGTTCATTTGAGATCTTTGTCCGGAAAGGTGGCCGCAATCGACGTTTACTGCTGGCTTCACAAAACTGTTATTTTCTGTGTCGAAGAGATAATTTTGGGATCGAAGCAACGCGGTGCGTATCAACAGATCGTTCTTACATGTGCGTAAAGTGCTTGATTTTGAACGTAAGCTTCTCTCTAGCGCTCTTCTCACCTCAGATTTTTTTTTCCAGGTACATTGACATGTGCATGAAGGATACTGATCTTCCCATCGAAAATAATATGCAACCTATTCTGGTTTTCCAGAAGAAGTTGGAGGCCAAGGCAAATGTGGAATCCTCCTCCTCTAACTTGTTGTTGTTGAGAACAACAGCAAGTTAGCGGAGGTTTTCTAGTCATTTTTTTCCGTATGAATTCAGTTTTATCTGTTCGTTATGTTTTGTACGATTTATTAGGAATCATGAAGAATCTCGCACAGAAGGTTTAACTCTTTGCGGACAAGGGCAGAAGGAAGAAGCCAAGGAACTATTCAAAACGGAGGGCCTAAGGGCCGATACGATGACATATATATTACAAAAAAATATCATATTTTTAAAGACGAATAAAAAGGAAATGAAAGAAAGTATTCTGAGCTGATCGTGTAGTGAAAATATTCTAAGCTGGTTCGATCGTGACCGCGCGAGTATATTTATAATACTAAAGATGCCGCGGAATGGAGTCACGATTCACGCACGTAGGTATACTTCAAGTGGCATTTTGACCCGTAAAACGGCGGGGCCCGCTGGGGCCCGCCGACCATTTCAGATTCTTGAACAACAAAACTAATAGATTATGCTAAAAATGGAGGTCAGGGGTCGTTGAATACAGAGAAGATGTAGACTGAAAAGCATAAACAATAGCTCTTAACTAAACAAAGGGATTATGCGCATGAAGAATTACAACGAACAATATCAATAGAAAACAAACATACATCATATTGTTTTAAGAACTGCGGCTTGCTACATCTGTCTACTCAAACTTTTTCAAAAAAAATCATCGTAAATCACTTGATAAACGGCGAAAATCGAAGAGACTACCAGCGCAAAGGTGAAAGAATCAGTCCGCCATCTGCAATGATGTGATTGGACAAAATTGGTCACGTGGACCGTGTCCAACACCGCCTGAGCTTTGGTGGTTCACCTCTGTTTTCGCTTTCATTTGTTCTCTCTGCGTGTTTCACACTTCTATGGCCTGCGTTGGTGCTGTTGGTGCCGTCGAACAGGCTGAGTGGTATTGAGGGTAGGTCTGATTTGACCTTCCTGTGAAACATCAACTCATAGGGTGAAGGGGTGTTGGCGTCTAATGGTGTGTCCCGGATGTTCCGAAGTATGTCTTCCATTGACGTTTCTTCTTCCTTGGACTTCTCAAGCAACCTTTTGAGCCTCCCTTTGGCATTTTCGCAGAGGCCGTTCTTCCACTGAGAGGGAGGGGTCCCTGGCTTGTGGATGATGTTGAATTTTAAACCGAGTTCTTGGAAGTCGCTGGAAGTGTACTGAGAGCCTCGATCGCTCACCACCTCCGTAGGGTAACCAAACTGGTTGCAGACACTCTGAAAATGTTGAATCACTGTATTAGACTATATCTGCTTCTTGGTTCTTGATTGGCTTCACCCACGGGTATCCTGTGTGGTAGTCGACGATGAAACTGTACCATCGACCAGCATGCTGGAAAATGTCACAACCCAGAATCTGCATGGCATTGGTTGTGATCACAGGGATAACCGCTGCTTGTTTCTGTCTAGGTTGGTGCTCCAGACAGGATGGGCAGGTCAGAATAAGCCTCCTGATCAGTTCAGACATGCCAGGCCAGAACCACTTGTCTCTGGCTCTTTGGATAGATTTGTCCACTCCTTGATGGACTCGGTGCAGCTTTCGGAGTAAACACTCACGCATTTTCTGCGGCACCAGGATCCTTTGGCTCTTCACAACGATCCCATCGATGACTGCAATGTCGTGTCTGTAATCCCAGTAAGCTATGGCCAACTCGGGCACTTGATTGCGGTGTTCTGGTCATCCTTCCTGGCATAGGCGTTCTAGCTCCTGGAAGACTGGATCCTTCTTTTGAGTTGATCGTATCTTCTGGATGTCAGGTTCATTTACCGCAGCGACCTCAAATATCCCAATTTGGCTGGTCTCTGGGAATACTGGTCCTTGGTTCGGCGCTGGTTGCGGCACACACCTTGAGAGGCAGTCGGATATGTGCACCTCAACACCCTTTTTGTATTCGATTGTGAAATCGTAGCCTTGACATCGCAGCAAAAGTCGTTGCAGCCGGGTGGTCGTGTCTTTTATGTCTTTGTTAATGATCTGTTGTAATTGACTGTGGTCACTGACAATCTTAAATCTTCGTCCATACACGTACTGTCAGCAATGATTTACTGCCCAGGCGACAGCCAGCATCTCGCGTTCCAGGTTACAGTATCTCGTTTGTGCATCAATCAAGCTTCTAGATGAGAAATTGACTGGCTTGCCGTCCTGGAGTATACATGCACCCAGGCCCTTTTGGCTGGCATCACACTCGATAACGATTTCTTTCTGTGGGTAAAAGTACTGCAATATCGTGTTGTCTTTGACCTTCGAGTATCTTGGTGTGTGTCTCTTCCCACACAAATTCTACATATTTCTTTACCAGAGTCCGGAGGTCCTGCGTCTTGGCAGCCAGGTTGGGTATAAAATTTCCCAGGTAGTTGAACATTCCTAGCAGTGACTGTAGCTCCTGCTTGTTCCTTGGCACAGCCAACCGCTTTATCCCTTGGATCTTCTTTGCGTCTGGTTTTAATCCCTCCTTCGTCAGGGTATGGCCGAAATAATTGATCTCCTCTAATAGGATCTTTGCTTTCTTTGGATTGTGCCTGAAGCCTGCGTCTCGACATCGTTGGATGATCCTGTTTACTGTCAAATCATGTTCCCCCCATGTCCTTGCAGCAATTAGTATATCATCTGCAATGCAATAGACATCAGGGATGTCACTGAATGTGTCATCGACGGCACGTTGGAATACGTCTTGGCTACTCAAGAGCTCAAATGGAAGCCTTTTGTATGCATATCGTCCAAATGGCGTGTTGAAGGTGAGTAGGTGTACGCTGTCTGGATGTACTTCGATATTCCAACAGCCTGACGATTGGTCAGGGGCGGAAAAATGCTTGCAACCGTGTAGTCTCTGTAATATATCTTCCATTGTCGGTGCATAATGGTGTGGCCTCTTCACTGCCTTGTTGAGTGGCTTTGGATTTAGGCATATCCGGATGTCTCCATTGGGCTTGAGTGTGCACAGTACATTGCTTACCCATGGTGTTGCCTCTTCTTGCTTCTTGATGACACCAATGCCCACCATCCAGTCTAAATTCTTCTTCAGAGGCTCCTGCATTGGTGACGGTATATCTGCGGCTGACCACTGGTTGGACTTTTTCATCTATCTCGATCCGGTATTGGTAGCCCTTTAGCTTTCCAACGCCTTCAAACACGTCACTGCCATCCTTAAGGACTTGGCTTGTATCCCTGATTTCAATAGGCTCCCTCAACTTGAGAGAGTACTTGGGTTTTTCTGGGTCTAGGTCTGATGCTGGAGTAACTTCTCTTTTCTCCTCAGTACCGTCTCTCACCTCACTCACGTCATAGGGGCCATGGCAGTCCTTGCAGTCCGTCTCCTCCTCACACATAATCTTGATGATTTTTATTGCACGGGTGAATTTTAGTGAGAACAAGTTACTGCCACAGTCGGACACAAATAACTCAACGCGTCGGCGAACGACATCATTGTGGCGAACACAGTCAATATCGGAATTTCCCGTGGTTCTTGAAGCGCTTTCCTCCATAGCCTGTGAGTTTCACTTGACTTTCGTGCAGAATTCTCTCTGCATCATGGCCAAAGATTTCTCGAAATGTCATATAATTCATTAAGTTCACCTGAGCTCCAGTGTCGACCTTGCCCTTGAGCTTCTTTGTACTCCCGTCCGGTAATTCAAGCTCAACAGTGGCATACAATACATCAGGTGATTGGTCTTCATCTAAATAGACCTTGGTGACATATTTGGGCTGTTTCTTGCCGAAATGCGTCTTGGTAGACTTGGTTTCTTCAGCCTTTGCTTCTACAGAGTCAACTTGCACTGTGACCTCGTCACTTTCATACTCTGAGAGGTCTGCTTCGCTACCTCCTGAGTCTGCAGTTGCCTCGCGAAACTTCTTTTTGGGTCCGGGTATTTGTTTCTGCTGGCTAGATCGCTTGCTGGAAGGATCGGCGTTTGTCTTGCTACGGCAGTGCTCAGCGAAGTGGCCCTTCTTTTTGCATTTACTGCATTCTTTCCCGTAGGCAGGGCACTGTTTGGGACCGTGTTTGCGTCCGCATCTTTTGCAGTCGTACTGATTTTTTGTGCGTCCATCACTGGAAGTCTTGGACTTTTTGCTGAAGGTCTTCTTCTGTTGTCTGAGCTCCTCTGCGCTTTTAGTTTCTCCCAGGTTGTGGTCCCTCCTAATCTTTTCCACTACGCGTATGTGCGTCTGAGCTTGTTCCTCAGCTCTGGCGGTGTCGAGAACACGGCTGGCGTCTGCATCTTTTTGTAGTGCATAGACTTTCTCTATAATTTTCGTGTTTGTCAAGCCATATTTGAGGGTTTCCGCCTCGAGGACTTTTTGTATCGCGGGATCGTACTCGCACTGGTGGAGGACATCACGTATCCGTCCGTAGAAAATGTCCACTGACTCTCCTTTGTCCTCTTTCATGAACTTCAGTGTCATTCTCGTGGCGTTCCACGATCCTTGGCAACCTTCCTTTTTGGAACACAAATTGGCAAAGAAGTTCCACAGCGGGGTGAGTTTTTCCTTGTCTCCGGGTGGGAATGGGTGTAGCTCGTGATTGACGCATGCCTTTGGCCCCATCCACATTAGCACTTTGTTTACTTTAACACTGACCTCAAGCCCGTCGTAGCATTCTAAAACCTAAGGTCTTGAAGCACAAATATTCGTGGTGTGGCTTTTTGGAAGTGAAGTCCAACCTCTTGGGCATTTCAACTCCATGTAGCCTTGCTCTAGCGGCTTGCTCGATTGCAGCTTGTGGCGCCCTCCGCTCGTCGTCGGTTTCTGGCATGGTGACTGAATTGCTAGTGTGAGATCAGCTACCGCGATCGATTGGCGTTTTTTTTTTTTTTTCGATGCTTGTTTTCCCGTATTTCACTGATTACGTTGTCTGTTCCGGGGCTCTACTGGGCTGGATCGACGTTCTAAATAAGTGGATGAGCAGTCTTGACACACAGACCTGTGTTGGGATGGCTCCGGTGAAGAAAAATTTGTGGCACTTTCCAAAATCCAAGATGGCGGCCGGCGTAGTTTACTGTTATCGTTCACCGT